GGGGGGCGGACCCCGGGCAGCCCCGCTACCGCCGAGTGCGGCTGCTGTGCATGCTGGCGCTCACCTTCCTCTTCTTCGTGGTGGAGGTGGTGGTGAGCCGGATCACAGCCTCGCTGGCCATGCTCTCGGACTCCTTCCACATGCTGTCCGATGTCATGGCTCTGGTGGTGGCCCTGGTGGCCGTACGCTTCGCCCAGCGCACACGCGCCACCCACAAAAACACCTTCGATGGGCGCCTTGGTCAACGCTGTCTTCCTCACCGCCCTCTGCTTCACCATCCTGCTGGAGGCCATCGAGCGCTTCACCGAGGCCCACGAGATCCAGCAACCGCTTGTGGTGATTGGAGTGGGAGCTGCGGGGCTCCTCGTCAATCTGCTGGGGCTCTGCCTCTTCCACCAGCATGGAGGTGGGGGGCACGGGCACTCGCATGGTGGGAGCCAACACCACCGCAGTGGCAGCCGCACCAAATTGGAGCGATCTTCTGGGGATGGGGATGCTGTGCTGCGCACGGAGGAGACCAACACACTGGTGGAGAATTGCAGCAGCACCAATGGAGTCAACCAAGAGAAGTTAGGTAAGCGGTACTGTCCACAGTAGGAGTCCTTCCTTAGCCTGAGGACTGGAGGGGGGGGGAAGTTTCCTCTATAGAGATCGGAAGGTGAGGAGCAGATAGATGCTCCTGTATCAGGTTGGAGACAGGTTAAGGGAGACGTTCAATTTCTTTTTTTTTTTTTTTTTTTTTTTTTAAAGAGACGAAGTAGGATAAAATAAGGGAGGTATAACTCAGGTAATTTTGTACAGTGGTATTGACATTCCATACTAGCAGTGGATTTTGGAAGACACTGCATGTTGGTGGAAGAAAGATTAAGTGATTCCCTTGTTTGTTAATAGTTTACATAGCAATATCTTGGCTACAATTGCTATTCCTGTATTAGCGAGTCAAGGGATTTTGGCTGCAGTTGCTATTCCTATATTAGTCAAGGGATTCAGTGTGCTCATGCATCTTCTTCCAAAAACTTCCTTTCTACCTTGTTTAGTAGCTCAGAACACTTTAGTATGACTGGTGGGGGGGGGCGAATTCTTTACCATTCACTTGTTAGGTAAACAATGAATTTGTTTACCTTTTGACTCTCTTTTGTTCTCAGTGCCTAGTGAAACATAAATTAGTAAGCTCATCATTGTATAGTTGGGCTGTATGTTGGCTTTCAAAAGATGGGGTTTGTGAAAATATAGGACTGGTTGCTCTAGTACTTTAAGCATCAACCTGATCATTTAATGAGCCTTAATGTTATTTCACTTCCTAAGTAAGTATCCTAGTTTTAGCATGCATTACACAAGTTAGGGCTTGTCTATACTGGCAAGTTACTGGGCTATAATGTTCTCATGGGGTGTGAAAAAAAATCCTTCCCCCTTCAGCTAGCGCTTTAAAGTGCCAGTGTAAATAGGCTACAAGTGCTGTTAGCTACTCCCTTCATGGAAGTGGTTGACCTAGACCAGTGGTCCCCAACGCGGTGCCCGCGGGCGCCATGGCGCCTCCCGGGGCATTTGTGTGTGTCCGCTGAATCATCTGGGCCGGCCCTGCCCTAGGCACACGACACATGTGCGGTGCCGCCCCCGGATGTGCGGAGCATGAGCGTCCCTGCCCCCGGATGCCTGGAGCTTGACCGTCCCTGCCCCCGGGGTGCCTGGCAGCCCCGAAAGGTTGGGGACCACTGATCTAGACTCTCCTAGAGCAAGAGTGGGGAACCTTTTTAAGACTGGGGGCCACTGATCCATAAAAAAATCAGTGAGAAGCAAAAAAAAAAAATAACCCAAACATTTCAGCTTCAGTGCTGTTGCCCTGCAGGGGATCACCAAAGCTCTTGTACATAGGCCTGGAGCAGGAGTGGCAGTTTGTCCTGCTGTGGGGGAAACCCTGGGCCTCAGCCAAGGGCCAGCTCATAAGCCATTAGCCATATCCAGCCCATGGGCCATGGGTCCAGATGCCCTCTTCCCTTCACCTAGAGCTCTGGGAGAACTCTCCCAGCGCTGCAGCTAGGATCATACTAGTGCAAGTGCTTTAATGTTCTGATTATAGCCTGAGTGTTTAGAGAGAAAGGTGGATACAGTAATATCTTTTTATTGGTCTGTTGGTTTGGGAGACAAGTTTACACAGAGTTTTGTGGCTCTGACCAATAGAATTTGGCCCAATAGAAATATTACCTCACCAGCTTTGTTACTATAAAATGCTTAGACAGTAAAAGTTAAGTAGACCTCATTAGAATATTGTAGTTTGTAACTTGAAAATCAGAAAATATGTGGAAATAAAAAAAATTAGAGTTAAATCTGTTATTCATCTGATTATCATATGCCTTTGAAATTTTGTAGTATCCTCTACATGCTTGTTATACTATCATAGGTCTCTCCTGCTCTTGAATACGTCATTATAATGCTGCTGTTAAGTATGATGTCAAATGCATTTAATTAACTGTGTAATCGCTGAAAACTTTGGGGGCTGCTGACCCACAGAAAAATCAGTGAGAAGCAAAAAAACCAAACATTTCACACTCACAACTCAGATTAAATTTCAGTAGTTACACACAGGCATGGGGCAGTCGGCTCCCCTTTAGAGGCAGCAGAGGAGGGGTAGGCAGTCCTGCGTGTAACCATGAGAGTTAACTGATAGGTTGATTATGTACCCGGTTATACTTTCACTTCAGGTATGACCACCTGATAAATTTAAAATATGATAGTACTCAGCGTAGACAAGGATCAACACATACCAATATGTTAGTCGGGGTTCGTCTACAGGGCTTAACTCAAAATAAGCTACACAACTTGAGCTATGTCAATTGTGTTGCTTATTTCGAAATAAATAGGGAGTGTCTACACAGCTCTTATTTTGAAATAGAGCACTCTTCCTCTGACTTTCCTCTGACTTCCCTTATTCCTCGTACAATGAGGGTTACAGGAGTCAGAATAAGAAGTCCTCTAGCTTGATAGTATTTTGACACTATTTCAAAATAGTGTAGTTATAGCGCTGGTTATTTCGAAATAGTGTTGCAGTGTAGATGTATCCAGAGTGTGTTTTAACGCTCATATCCCAGTGTAGAAAAACACTAAGACTACGTCTACATTGGCAAGATTTTGCACAAAAGCAGTCACTTTTGCGCAAAAACTTGCCGCCTGTCTACGCTGGCAGGGAGTTCTTGCGCAAGAACACTGACGTTCTAATGTAAAAAATCAGTACTAATGTAAAAAATCAGTGTTCTTGCGCAAGAGGCCAGCGTAGACAGGCAACATGAAATGGCCATAAAATGGCCATCGGAGCTTTCTTGCGCAAGAGAGCGTCTACACTGGCACGGATGCTTTTGCGCAAAAGCATATGTCTTGCGCAAAAGCACATGCCAGTGTAGACACTCTCTTGCACATATACTTTAACGCAAAAACTCTTGCGTTAAAAGTATTTGCGCAAAATCTGCCAATGTAGATGTAGCCTAACAATCCACATTCTAATTTCTTTCTATTTCTCTTTGTTTGTTCACCTAGCTTCTTCATTGGCTCCATTGTCTGAGTGCCTTCCAAAATTATAAAATGTACATATAAATATAGGTATATTTCTTTACCTTCTGATTAAAAGTGCCCACCATACATTTTCAGAAAGCCTTTGATGAGGTCCCTCACTGAAGGCTCTTGTGTAAATTACATTGTCATGGGATAAGAAGGAAGGTCCTTACATGGATTGAGAACTGGTTAAGGCAGGAAACAAAGGGTAGGAATAAATGGTAAATTTTCAGAATGGAGAGGGGTAGTGGTGTACCCCAAGGGTCAGTCCTGTTACCAATCCTGTTCAATTTACTCAAGTGGTCTGGAGTAGGTATGCAGTGAGGTGGTAAAGTTTGTGGATGATACTAAACTATTTAAGATAGTCAAGACAGAAGCAGACTGTGAAGAACTTCAGAAAGATCTCTCCAAACTGAGTGATTGGGCAACAAAATGGCAAATGAAATTGAATATGGATAAGTATAAAGTAATGCATGTTGGGGAAAAAATAACCCCAACTATACGTACAGTATGATGGGGGCTAATTTGGCTACAACAAATCAGGAAAGATCTTGGAGTTATCATGGATAGTTCTCTGAAAACTTCCACACTATGCAGCGGCAGTCAAAAAGGCAAATAGGATGTTAGGAATTATTAAGAAAGGGATAGAAAATAAGACACAGAATATCTTACTGCCCCTGTATAAAAGTATGGTATACCCACATCTTGAATACTGTGTACAGATATGGTCTCCTCACCTCAAAAAATATAACCCTGGAAAGGGTTCAGAAAAGGGCAACTAAAATGATTAGGGGTTTGGAATGGGTCCCATATGAAGAGAGGCTAAAGCAACTGGGACTTTTCAGTTTAGAAAAGAGGAGACTAAGGGGGGATATGATAGAGGTCTATAAAATCATGAGTGGTGTGGAGAGGGTGAATAAAGAAAAGTTATTTATTAGTTCCCATAATAGAAGAACTAGAGTACACCAAATGAAATTAGTGGGTAGCAGATTTAAAACTAATAAAACTTCACACAGCGCATAGTCAATCTGTGGAACTCCTTGCCAGAGGAGGTTGTGAAGGCTAGGACTATAACAGAGTTTAAAGAGAAGTTAGATAATTTCATGGAAGTTAGGTCCATAAAAGGCCAGGGGATAGAAATTGTGTCTCTGGCCTCTGTTTGTCAGAGGCTGGAGATGGATGGCACAAGACAAATCCCTTGATCATTGTCTTCAGTCCATCCCCACCCGGTCAGCAGACAGGCTGCTGGGCTAAATGGACCTTTGGTCTGACCCAATACGGCCATTCTTATGTTCTGTGTTCTTATGTTATGGTGGAAGTGGTAGGCTGTCTGGCTTGCTTTTTGGGGGCATTTTGTTCTGAAAACTGTGAAATTTGTAGTCCTTTCACTCAGTTCAACCTATTTGAATTAACTGCAACATCTTTCCTCTAACCTGTTTTATAGAAACATTCTTTCTTATTGTACTAGAGAGCAGAACAGTTTCACAACTTACTCTGCACAAATAATCAGTTTTCTCTGTCCACTATTCTGCCAGCTAGGAGGTAAAAGGCCACAAATTTAGTTGCTAGGCTATAACTGTTGTTGAATTGTACAATGGAGGAGGATTTAAAAAATAAAAGCCTAAGTGATGTCACTTTGCTATAATATTTCACTGTAATAAATTTAGAAACCACTTTATTGAGTTGATATCATAATACAGTAAAACATTTTACTTCATGTACATTTAGTCTATTGTATCTGATATCGTACATGGTATGTAACTGTTTCACTGTTTTCTTTGCAGGTGACATGGTGAAAGATGGCAAGGCGGAACTACAAGCAAATGGGAGTGCAGGTTCTCACTCTCTGGACATAGAAGTTGAAGAAGACTCCAGTGGACAGCTTAACATGCGTGGAGTTTTTCTGCATGTGCTTGGAGATGCTTTGGGTTCAGTGATTGTGGTGGTGAATGCCTTGGTCTTTTACTTTTCTTGGAACCCATGTCCCAAAGATGGGCCATGTTTTAATCCATGTGTCAATAGCCATTGTATAGAAAATGCTACTGTGGCCCCACCACTTGTCAGTGCTAAACTGCTCAAGCAAGAGGGTATTCATGTAGCTGGTCCCTGCTGGGTGCTGTATTTAGATCCCTCTCTTTGTCTGATAATGGTTTGTATACTCCTTTATACAACTTATCCATTACTCAAAGAATCTGCCCTAATCCTTTTACAAACTGTTCCCAAACAAATTGATATATATTCTTTGAACTTGAAACTACGTAAACTTGAAGGAGTTGAAGCAGTCCATGAACTACATGTTTGGCAACTGGCAGGCAGCAGAATCATAGGCACTGCTCACATAAAATGTCATGACCCTGCATCATACATGAAAGTGGCAAAGCACATTAAAGAGATTTTTCATGATGAAGGGATCCATGCCACTACAATTCAGCCTGAGTTTGCCAGTGTAGGCTCTGAATCGGGTGTTGGCAAATGTGAGTTTCCCTGCAGAACTCAGTGTGCTCTGAAGCAGTGTTGTGGGACCACAGAAGGCAATACTGAGAAGAAGACAGAAAAGACATCTTCAATTGCTATTTCATGCTCAGAAATAATTATTGAATCACCACACCACAAAACTAGGAGGACTAAATCTGAAAGTATACCCACTGTTAGGCTAGAGGCAGATGATGACCCAGACACGCAATTTGAATCATCTTTGTAATTTCTATAGGTGTGCTGTTTGATAGCTTCAACTACAGCTTTATTGCAACAGAAAAAGACTGATATTTGAGATGCAAGTGTGTCAAACAGTGTAGTTGTTGAAGTCCCTGTTCTTGTCACACTGCTAAATCTAGAATGCTTGTTTTAAAGAACATAATGGCATTGTCATGACACAATGTGTTTGTGTTGACTTTGTAATGAGTGGCACTAAAGAGTGCCAATGCTGTAAAACATTTGGAAAACTAGTTTCAACGCTTCTGTTGAGCTTCAAATTGAAATATTTTCTCTCCTGAAAAGCTACTTGAGGGTTAAGTAAATTGGAATGTAGTTTGTGTTAGACTTCTCATTGGGGCAACTTTTTCCCTTAATATTTGATTTGTAGATATTTTAATATATTGTTTGTAATCCATATGAAAACCAAAGTTCATTATTTTTAAGGATGTTACAACATCAAACTAGAAACCACATTGTCCATTTCTCACATTTCCCTTAAATCTATACAGTCAACAATGTGTGTGTTTCTAGTGGATTTATTGCATAGTATAAATAGTAGTATATTTTAAAAGAAATGTATCAGTCATATGATTGATACAAAATTGTTCATTTCTTCCCCCCCTCCTTTTTCTCCTCCTTCCCCCTGCTGCTCTGGTGGTGTGGGGGTAATTAAAATTAATTTTTACAACTGATTTTAACAAACAGCTATGTTCTGTTAATGTAACTTCAACATGCTGAATACTCATCTGATCAGACACTTATCTGATCAGGACATTTAATTTATCATAGCAATGCCAACCAGCACTTCTAAATTGGAGGGTTTATCAACATTGACATAATGTTTCCTGGGTTTAAATTATAACTGCAGTAAAAATGAACTTGGATGAAATTTTACTGATAGTCTCAATGCAGCTGTAAGTCCTTATTACAGTGGTTGAAAGCTTGGCCCATTGAAGTGAATTGAAGCTTTGCCATTCAGTAAGGCCAGGATTTCATCCAATATGTTTTACTCTTTTTAAAACTCTGTGTTTCAAATAATTTTAATTGAATGTGTAAATATTCAGTTTAAAACTGTTTAACACAACTAAATAATAGACTGGTTCTGCTGGGTGCGCCATCAACTCATGTATTCTCAAGAATTGGGGATTGTTGACTCTGAATCAATAGGATATTGGGGAGAACTGGAAGCAATATAAATAAGAGACTTCGGTCCCATGCTGAGTGTCATGCTCCAGGCCCAAATGGACCCTTAAATCCACTTTTGGAGCTGCATATATAAATAGTGAGAAACATAGGACTGAGAGTTGGAAGATCTGAGTTCTTTTCCCAGTTCTGCCTCACAACTTACATTATGTGACCTTGAGTTAGTCACTTAACCTCTCTGCCTCATTCTACTAGTTTGTAAAATGTGGAGAATACCTACCTCATGGGATATTGGGGGGCTTAATCCATTAGTTTCTAAAGGCTTTTGACATCTTCCAATGGAAGACACTATAGAAGTGCAAAGTTGTTTTATTGCTTGTTTTCCAACAGTGGCTCCTTTTACATATGTGCAGGCACAACAGGATAATTTAAGGACAGTTTTGGCCTTATTTATGGATTTTGTGCATACTGTATTTTTAAGGTTTTAAACAATATTTAAATTAATATATTTTATATTAAAAATGTTTTGGTTAGTAAAGGAAATGCAGGTTCTTTTTCCCCCCTCAAATATAGAACTGCTCACTAATTTGCACTTCTCTAATATTCCCTATTATATTCATAAGTGGTTCACAACTGACTAATGCCCTTCTAGAGGGAGATCAGGTCTGGTCATGTCAGTGGGCTTACTCAGTTTCTCAGCAAAGCATTATAGTGAGGTCTTACATTAAGATTGTTTGCAAAATGTACTACCATATATGTACTAATATGCAATGAATCATTGTCAAACTCTCTCGGAGATGAACAAAGTGCACTTGAAATGCATATCCTTGCTTTTTTTTCCACAGTAAACTGCTTCACTGACTAGTATACTTAATTCTTTGTGTTTGGTCTCCCACTCATTAGTGGTAATTTGCAGGGTCCTGCTGTAGAACTGTCACTAACAAAATATAAAACAGTTTATAGCCAAAAATACAGTAATATTAAAAGTCATGGCTTTTGCTTTTATAGAAGGAGGTTACTAGTCCTGGCATGGTTGTCATCTTTAACAAATAACTATATTTGAATAGGCCTAGAAATGTATCCATTAATTCCGTTGTAGATGCTTAATCTTTTTGTGCCAGAAGTCATATTATAACTTTTTTTTGTTTTTGTTTTGTTTTTAGTGCTATGTCCATTGCAGGCAATGACTATCTTTAAATAAAAGGGAAAAAGCCCTCTCCCTCATCATGGACTTGAATACAGTGTCTATTAAGTACAAGGAGGGAGTTGCATAGCAATGGGATTATGGCTTCTACATGTATTGTTGCTGTAATGAGCCCAAATTGTAGCCTGATAACTTGCAATACATCTCAATACATCTCAGTCTTTTAATTTGATTTATACAGACTTGATTTTAATTCTGAGGACTGTAATTCCACTATACTGATGGCTTTCTTGAGCTACTACATAAATCATTTTTATCATTAAATTAGTGAATCTCAAGAGTAAGCACTTCACAGGTTGGACAGGAAAGCAGCTAATTGTATTGTGCATTCCTGATTTTTTTTTTTTAATAAAAACATGGAACACTGATTTTTAGGAAAAAGGAAAATTATATTTCAGTATCTGTTTTTGTTTATGCTTCCTATTAAATGTTTCAGTAACACTACCAAATAACATTAGATATATCTACAATAAAATGTTTTTCATAAATATAGTTTAGTCAGCTATTTACAGGTGTATACTAGACATATTAAAGTAGCTTTTTTTTTAAGCTGTCCAAACTATGTATGGACTTGATACTGCAAACATTTATTTTAGTAAGTAGTCCTGTTGAACTTAGAATACTTGTGTAAGTGAAGTTTTACTTGCCTGTGAATAAGTGTTTGCAGGATTGGTCCCTAAATATGCAACAGGGGCTAGGGCTTTTCTAAAAGCCTTAAAAGCTAGGTGAAGATTTTTAGTGATAAGTATTTTAAAATCAATATAAAATGGGTGGTACTATAGATTTTTCCCTCTTAAAGTTATGTTACTGGCTTTGTAACTAAACTTTTAACTCTGGGTCTGACTCTTTTCACAAGTGTTGAACACCCAGTGCTATTACTGACTTCAGTTGGAATTGAAGTTGCTCAGCACCCCTGAAAACTAGGCAAATCTGGTCATTCAATTTTGGTAGTTAAGAAGGAAACAGATTTTTTTTTTTTTTCTAGAATGCACATTCTAACCTATTCTGCTATAGGGAACTGCTTCTGAGTTTTTTATATCTAGATATCCTGATTTTTGTGTGATGGGAGTGAGAAATGCTCTATTGGGCGTATTTAAAACAGCACATTAAAAAGATTGATTTATTTCATAATGAGGCATTACTTATTTTGCCCCCTTAGAATTCTGATTTTTATGTTGCTTAATCAATTCTGTGATGTTTAATTTGGCTTTGTTCTTGAATCTTTCATTTCTCTCCTGTATGGAAAAGGAAGGGATTCTTCATGAGTGCGTTTAGACTGGCAAGATTTTGCGCAAAAGCACGTGCTTTTGCACAAAAATTTGCCAGGTGTCTACACTGGCCACTTGAATTTGCGCAAGAGCACTGACTTTGTAATGTACAAAATCAGTGCTTCTTGCGCAAATACTTTCCCGCTCCCACTCAGGGAAAAAGCCCTCTTGTGCATGAATACTTGCACAAGAGGACCAGTGTAAACAGGGAAGAACTGTTTTGTGCAAAAAACCCCGATAGCTAAAATGGCGATCGGGGCTTTCTTGCGCAAAATCGCGTCTAGACTGGCCATGGATGCTTTTGCGCAAAAGCACTTTTTGTACAAAAGCATCCGTGCCAATCTAGATGCTCTTTTGCGGAAATACTTTTAACTGAAAAACTTTTCTGTTAAAAGTATTTCCGCAAAATCATGCCAGTCTAGATGTAGCCTGTGTGTCTGAATTAGAACGTCCTGAAAGCTTTCCAAGCCTGATACAAACTTACTGATAAACAGCAGGTGTGATTCTTCTTTATGACTTTTAGTCTATATGAAATTTAATTGCCTACATGGGATACTATTTGATCTTATATAAATGTGAGCTAGGTATCTTTTCCATTCGTTACATATCTGAGTTTTCATTTAAAAAAATGGTGCACAATACCTTTTATCTATATATCCCAAAGCATGTGGGTTTAGTTAGGATTCTTAACTCACATTTTGAGGCTAATTTTGTAATCACAATGGAGGGGACCGAATTGACATACTTGTACCTATTGTTTAGAATTCATGAGTGAAAGATTGGGTTTGACATCTATTAAATGTTGTAAGAAACAACATGTTGTTGTAAGATAGTAAAGTCCTGTAAGAATGTATCTATTTAATGTGAAGCACTTAAATAATTTCACTATTCTGCTTACAAGTGCAGCTCCTTGACAAATAGAAGTATACTTATATGCATCCAGTCTTTTTTAAAGATGTGAACATTATAAGTAGAAACAAAGTTTGGGACCTGAGTTGTAAAAATATTATTGTACCCTGTCATGGTTTCTGGTGCAAATATATGAATACTTACTGAGTTTGTGTCATCACAAAACAACCTTCAACATTTTTCAAGAGAAAGTAGTCAGTGTTTGAATAAATCTTTGAATATCAACATTTCCACACATTACTGTATAACAATAGTTAAACTTTTAAAACTTAGGTCTCTCAAATTTAAGGTAGACTTGCTAAATCTAAGATGCATACAGTTTTCACTTTTGCTTTAAAAAATGTGTAGACTTTAACACATAAAACACTTGTTTTGTGTTCTATAATCTAAAATGTTAATCCAAAAAACACTGCAGTCCTAAGGAGTTGCTTCAAGAAAAGGGACTGCAGCAAAATGCATTTAGTACTCATTAATAAGTTGTAGGGCAAGAATATTTTTAAATTCTGTCCTCAACAGCACACTGACATGCATCCGTGTGTTCTTCATAAAGCCCTTATTTTGTACAATTTTTAGTTTTTGCATGGGGAAAAAAGTGATGCAATTTTATGCAGCAGCCCTCTCCCTAACTGCACATCTCTGTGTGGGTTATTTTTACTTTTAAGACATTGTGATGTCTATGAATAAATGTAAAAGTGCACATCATTTTGCAAAGCTGTTTCTACCTCCATATGAGGCTTTGTGAGCTGTTCATGTATTATAAATGTTTTGAGACTTGCTATATGATATTTTTTTGGTTTTGGTTTGGTTCAGTGGGTGGTGGGAAGCTGTAACTATAGTTCTGCAGATATGTTTCTTTCATTCCTCCAATCCTGGGTTGTGGTAGCTCAAGCCTGCTAAATGGGGAAACCTTTGGATAAAATTAAGACTGCCAGAAGTTGTGGTATTGTAAATTAAGTAGCATTTGCATATGCATCAGCATTGTGCCAAAGCCTTAACATGGTGATAGGGAACACAGTGCTGTTGTGAAGGTACAAGAGACACTTCAGTTCAAGTTATTTTTAAATTGGACAAGCTGCCCTAATATTCTGGACACATTTGATATCCCCCTGAAGTCCTAGATAAGGTATAAATTTCTTGTTCTCCTAAATTGTGAGGTAGTCTTTTTGTAGTAATTAGTTGCTGCCTCCCATTGTGGACATACTTCATCCACCACTGAACTGGAGCTAAGTAATCTGAGTACATTCTGTAAATCACTGAAGTACTGTGCCATCTGTCTAGCAGGAAGGTGCTATCATGTCACTGTCATTGAAGGCCTTAACCTTTTTACTTAGCGTATCTGAAAGATGCATCATTACTCCCACATTCTTGTTTAAAAATATAGCTACTTCAAAGGATTGTGTGGTGCTTAGCTCCTTTTGGTAGTTGAGGCATGGAAGGGGGGCATGCAGACTTGCTACTTGTATCTTTGTAATATCTCTTTGGTATACATGCATATCCTCTGCCCCTCTAGACTGTGTTGTGTATGTAACCTATAGTTCCTGTGGGACAGATTGCAGTCTGTAAGTATGCAATCTATCTTGGAGGTCAGATAGGGTTGCCGTATGGTTTCAACAAAAATATGGGACACAATTGACATTACATCACAATCTACATTATATCTTATTTTGAAAATACCGGACATTTATATTTTCTCATTTGTATTTTCTCAATTTGTTTCCTGAACAGAAAGCTCAAATACTGGACTGTTTAGTTCAAAACTGGACACCTGGCAACCCTAAGGTCAGACCAAAAACCAGTCTTGAGCCCATAAGGAAAGAATGATGGAGATTAACATTACCATCTTGAATCTTGTCAGTTCCTCCCCCCCCCCCCCTAAACCTCCCTTGAATTTCAGAGAATACCCATGCTTTGGCTCCAGGGTAAAGTGTGTGTGGGGAGGGAGGGGGGCAACTTCTTTCAATTGGCTTTCATGTGAGAGCCCTTTGAGCGGGGGGTTGGTTGAGGCAGGGACTGGTATTTAATAATATGCCCATGATAGGGGATTTCTTGTACCTATTTGCTGGTCACTTATTTCATTCTAAGCCTGGCAGAATAGGGAAAGATGGCCTCTGAAGACAGTTTGAGGATAGCTCTAGTTTGGATAGTTAGTATTCAGACATGAAGATTGAAATCTGCTTTCTTGATGATGATGCATGCTATCTGTATAAGATGGAAGCCAATTTAGAGGCTCTGAATAGTTTCTTTCCTTGAGCACAAGTAGGAAGTTTGTTGAGAATGGGTGAGTGTTTTGTCTGGTTTAAAATTAATGTCTGAAAGGCTTCAGTATTGAGTCTGAGATATAAATCCTCAGATCTCAAAGTGGCTCTGGAAATCTTTCAAGGAGCTGTTAAATTGCTAACCATATCTGTGCCCTCAAAAGCTAAGTCATCTATGGTGCTCTCTTACCTCCTTTTGGGATACTTGTCACCACTATAGCCTTGTTTCTT